CAGGCTCCGAGCTGTCAGCACAGAGCCCGATGCGGGGCTCGAACCCACAAACCGCGAGATCATGACCGAGCCGAAGTCAGATGCTTAACCGAATAAGCCACCCAGGCGCCCCTCTGTTTACTTTTTTTAACTCACAAATTCATTTTAAATTTGGATCTGTTCCTGTAGGTACTGACCACCTGTGCCAATTTAGGTGTTTTCAAAGAATTATATTAAATAACTTAAATGTTAGGAAAATATTCCAGCAGTCATTGGTGAAAGTTGATCTAGTTTTGCATATAGCATATACTTTAGACCAAGAAGCTTATGCTGTTTCAGAGGTATCACTGTGGAAAAAAATCTGCTTTGGGACTGTGAGGTATTTAGGGATGTGGGTAATAACTGAACTGCTGAGGGGGCGCCTGTGGCTCAGTCGGTTAAGCATCCGACTTTTGATTTTGGCTCAAGTCATGATCTCACGGTTTGTGAATTTAAGCCCTGCTTGGGGCTCTGCGCTGACAGCATGGAACCTGCTTGGGATTTTCACTCACTCTCTCTCTCTCTCTCTCTCTCTCTCTCTCAAAATAAATAATAAATTAAAAAAAGAATTGAGCTGCTGAGCTGAAGCATGAGGGGGAAGGGAGAGAACTGTTTGGTTTTGGAAGAGACGAAACAGGAACTGGGGAGGAGAGTAGCAATACCTCTTCTCAGCTCAGATCTGGTTGGGAAAGGATTCTGGGGCTAGAACCAGGGCCTGAGATGTAAAGCAGGATATCTGAGGTAGATCTTGACATAGGGGAGCTATGCAAAGGTAGGAAAGAGTGGGGCTCAAGATAACTATAAAAAGGCTAGCATTTGGGGCGCCTGGGTGGGTCAGTCAGTTGAGAGTCTGGCTCTTGATTTCAGTTGAAGTCATCATCCCAGGGTCGTGGGATCGAGTCCTGAGTCGGTCTCCACGTGGAGCCTGCTTAAGATTTTTTCTTTCTCTCACTCTGCCCCTCTCCCCTGCTCGTGCACTCTTGCTCTCTCACATAGGAAAAGAAAAAAAGAAAAGGCTAGCTTTTGAAAGCCAATGAAAAACTTAGTACTGGGAAAAATGGGATTTTGTCTACTGTTTATTTCAGTCTTAGTTTTTAAGAGCTATCCTCTTACAGGGAAGAGAGCTTACTTCTTGGACCCTGCCCTATGTTTTGCCACAATAAGAGTTTCTTCTGTGGAATTCTGAGGAGGAAGAACTGAAGGAAGTACCTGCACATAATACATTTATTAATTTGTATAAGCAATTTGATAAGTTGCAGAGTTCCATCATCTTACAAGTGGCAAATTATATATTTTAGATGAAAATTTCCATGCTTTTAATAAATATAGATATATCATTGATTTTGTATGAGTAGCATTTCTTAGCATTTTTTGCTCTCATATTAATGACATGCTAGGTGGAATAAAATTTTCTTGAATGCTTTTTTTTTTAAGAGGGGGTGAGGGGCAGAGAGAGAGGGAGAGAGAGAGAATCCCAAGCAGCCTCCATGCTCAGTTCAGAGCCTGATGCAGGGCTCAATCCCACAACACTGGGATCGTAATCTGATCTGAAATCAAGAGTTGGACACTCAACTGACTGAGCCACCTAGGCGCCCCTATGCTATTATTGAATTATATGTCAATAGTGCATTTTTTGTTTTTAAATGTGGATCTGATCCTGATTGTCATATAAATTCATGGGTCTCTGAATATACTATTTTTTTACTGGATGGTCCTTAAATTTTCAAGACAACATCTGTAGCTCAAGCACATATTGTATCCCTTTAGCATAAAGAAGTTTCTCTGATGGGCTAGACTCTTAATAGTATCCTATTTCTGCTGCATGATCCTGTGAGATTTTGGAATAGACCAGACAGTGTATCAGACTGATTGGCTCGGCTTAGACTTTTTAGGTTGCAACAGTGATCATAAGCTCCTGCTGCATTCTTTTGGTTTGAAGCTTCCTCCCGCATATTCTTTTTTCCATTTATGCAAATGTTCTAATTTTGAAAAATTCCTCTTTGATCAGCAGTTGATAAAATGGCAAGGAGGATAGATAGCATGGACAAGAGTGTATTTGGAGAACCTCCTGATGGCATTGATTTGCTACATTGTCTTTTGAGGAGAATGCCTATTTTATGAATAGTATTTTATGCTTTTTGATAATAAGACTTAGGTGAATAATCTCACTTGATTATTAATAATCTCAGAACTCTGTAATTAATAATCTCAGAACTCTGTAGTTCTGAGAGGCAGGAATTGATTTCATTAGGAAATTATGTTATAGATGACAATGATCTCTGTTTCCTACAGGGTGGCTTAAAACAGATCGATGATAGACGATAGTTGAAGTTGGTTGTGGAGGGATTTATGTCTAGGATGGGGGTTAGCAAACTATGGCCCACAGGTAAATCTGGCCTGCTAACTGTTTTTGCCTGGCCTATGAGCTGATAGTGGTTTTAACATCCTTAAACAGTTGAAAAAAATGAAAAGAAATATTTTGTGACCTGTGCAAATTATATACAATTCAAATTGCAGTGTCCATAAATAAAGTTTTATTGGAACACAGTCATGCTTATGTGTTTTACATATTTGTGGCTCCTTTCTCTCTCCAAAGGTGGAGTTGACTAGTGACAGATTACTTATTATCTGGCCCTGATGAGAAAGGTTTGCTGATCCCTGGTCGAAGGTCATTTTCTACCTTCAGAGTTTTCATATTGTACAGAGACATCCCAGGAGCACTACTTATTCTCAACATGAATATACTTTTAATACATTTATTCCTAATCCATCTCCTGTAATATATCTTGCTTCTTAGACTTCCACTGTAATTATTTAAGTTTTGTCTGTCACAAGTAATTTTCATCTGATGACTTATGATGGTTTAGAACTTGGCTGGTAAAATTTAGGTGTTTCCAGTTCTTTAGCAGTTCCGTAGTAATAGTGAAAAAGGGCCTCGCTCACGTCTTTATTGTAGACGGTTTCATTCTTATTTGTCCTTAGCTACATTTAGAAGGGCTCTGCCTGGTATTTTGCATCTTTTTCATTCTGGTATATTGTTTTGTGATGGTAACTATTTACTCCCCAAAGAGGAACATTTTATTTGCTTGTCCCAAGTCATGCGGCTTACTGGAGACTTCCCTTCTACCTTATTACCTCTTTGCCTAACATGAAATACCGGTAGACAAAGCTTTGCACATAGCATCATAATCCTTCCCTGAAATGAGAAATCCTCAGCCAGAAGAGAACGGTGTTTTTCTGAAGCATTTTTTGCCATCAGGATTTTGGGATCTAGGTTTCATTTACTATGAGATACAGATTAATATTAGTAACTTTCAAGAATGAAATTAGGGAACAACTAAAGTTTTCAAAGTGCTTGAACACATGTTATCCAGGCAGTGCACACAGTGATTCTCTGAGCTAGGCAAGAGTGGGATTTGAGTGGCAGGACCTCTGACTCCAAATTGCATTTCCGTTATCTGTTATCACATTGCTGCAGGAAAACAAGAAATGCCCTTTGTTTTTTTTAAATATTTTAATGTTTATTTATTCTTAGAGAGAGAGAGAGACAGACAGACAGAATGTGAGTGGGGGAGGAGAAGAGAGAGAGGGAGACACAGAATCTGAAACAGGCTCCGGTCTCTGAGCTGTCAGCACAGAGCCCTATGCAAGGCCCGAACCCACAAATGCGAGATCGTGACCCGAGCCAAAGTCAGAAGCCCAACCGAGTGAGCCACCCAGGTGCCCCAAGAAATGCCCTTTGAATAGCTAAGGAGAGCTTATCTCATTCCTATAAGCGGGTCATGTAAGAAATGTGTTCTGTCCAGTAGTGAGAGTCAAGGATGTAGAAATACAGGCCTTTAAAGACTTCCTAAAATAAGCTTAATCCCAGCATGGATCCCAGTTTGTAGACCTTTGCTTTTCAGTTATTGTGAACAGGAGACAGCAGCATGAGCACGATACTGAATGATTTTACTGTAGTCCTAGATGATCCCCTTTATAATTTGGAAAATTTGGTGGCATTTAATTCGGGTACTTTTTGGAGGCCTTCAACTTCTCCACCTCTGTGTGGGTTGTCCTCTCCCATTTCTTCTGCTTTGCCTGTGACGGCTCTGTCCCAGAGGTTTTCACTTGGCTTCCTTTCCCTGTAGGGGTACCAGTTTGAGGAGGAGAACCCCCTGCGTGACCACCCCCAGCCTTTTGAGGAAGGCCTCCGGCGGCTTCAGGAGGGGGACCTGCCAAATGCGGTGCTGCTTTTTGAGGCAGCTGTGCAGCAGGATCCCAAGCACACGGAAGTGAGTGACTCACTGGTCTGCCTTCACATGAGACACGGCTTCCTTCAGTTTTGCGGGAACCCCACAGAGCAGTGCAGATGGATGCGGGCCTGGGTGGTGGCCTGAGGTCGGGGGGTAAGGGTGGAGAGGGGGATGCCAGAGGAAAGGAGGGTGGCAAGGTGAATACACGAGTAATGGGATCTGGCACCTTCTTTCTAGGCTTGGCAGTATCTGGGTACCACTCAGGCAGAGAATGAACAAGAACTGTTAGCCATCAGTGCGCTGCGGAGGTGAGTGTGTGAAAGGTGGGGTGAGGTGCTTCCGAGGCCCTCCAGATAGCCTTTAGAACGCTAGCGTCCCAGCCCCAGATCCTTGTCTTCTTTCCGGTCACTAGTAAGAGTGTGTTCTTGTGGCGAAACTCTTAAGGTTTGGAGGGAATTGGAGACACCTGGTTACGTTTCCTCACGAGCCGTTAATTGTATATGTGGGACCCTTACTGGTTCCTTGGCTGCTAAAACATCCCGCCTTCTCATATCTGTAATTTTGTTAGTAACTCACGTGTGGAGGATTCCTTTGCCTCGTAATCTGAGGGAGCTGGCAGGTGAGGCTGTCATGACTCTGCATTCCGTGACCGTATTCCAGTGTCCTGCAGGTGCCAGCTCTGCCCACCTCTGTCCAAACAGGTGTCTGGAGCTAAAGCCAGATAACCGGACGGCACTGATGGCGCTGGCTGTGAGCTTCACCAACGAGTCCTTGCAGCGACAGGCCTGCGAAACCCTGCGAGACTGGCTGCGCTACACGCCGGCCTATGCCCACCTGGTCGTGCGCGGCGAAGAAGGGGCTGGTGGGGCGGGACAGGGCCCCAGCAAGCGCATCCTGGGATCCCTGTTGTCGGAGTGAGTGCGAGGGATTCTTGGGAGGACAGATGGTAACGGGAGTCCCAGGAGAGGGAGGATCTTGATTTGGGAAGCTGGGATGGACTTAGACTCAGTGGTTTGAGAGTGGGATGCGGGCGGTGCCTGGGTGGCTCAGTCAGTGAAGCGTCCGACTTCGGCTCAGGCCACGATCTCGCAGTTTGTGGGTCGAGCCCCACTTCGGGCTCTGTGCTGACAGCTCGGATCCTGGAGCCTTCTTCGGGTTCCGTGTCTCCTCTCTCTGCCCCTCCCCTGTCCATGCTCTGTCTCTGTCTGTCTCTCAAAAAATGAGTAAACATTAAAAAAAAAATGACACACAAAAAAGAGTGGGATGGGAAACCCAGGATCCACTTGAAGGAGGTCCGCACTCCATGGTGCAGTGCCGGGATGAAACAGAAGAACAGGTTTCTAAAGTGGAGTTTGGGGGTCGGAGGATGACTGATAGACTGATGAATCTCGAGGGTGTGAGTGACTAAGGAAATATTTTGGGAGGGTGGGAATATAGACACATCCATCCACCTATGTCTGTGTTTTTGTTTTTTTTTTTTCTTCCCCCCTACTTATCCAGCTCCCTATTTCTTGAAGTGAAGGAGCTCTTCCTGGCTGCTGTGCGCCTGGACCCTACATCCATTGACCCTGATGTGCAGTGTGGCTTGGGAGTCCTCTTCAACCTGAGCGGGGAGTATGACAAGGCAGTGGACTGTTTCACAGCTGCCCTCAGCGTCCGTCCCAATGTGAGCCTCGGGAGGAATAGAAATAGAACATGACTGTGTCTTACTGAAGAATCATTTGTTGGGAACTTCGGAGTCATGGGAGATTTCGTTCCGGAGACTGGTTGCCATGGGAGGATTGGGAAAAGGCGGCTGGGAGTACAGGGTCATGTGGACGTCGGGGAGTCTGCATGAGATGAGAGCGGTTGCACTGTGGCCCACGGGGAACAGTGGAGGACAGAGGAACAGAAGGAACCTGTATTAGCTAAACAGAATGGTGAACCAGGGGGAGGGACGGGCAGAATTGGAGCGCCTGGCTCTTGTTTCTAACCCTTCTCCATTCCTATCCCAGGACTATTTGCTGTGGAATAAGCTAGGGGCCACCCTGGCCAACGGAAACCAGAGTGAAGAAGCAGTAGCTGCCTACCGTCGGGCCCTTGAGCTGCAGCCTGGCTATATACGGTCCCGCTACAACCTGGGCATCAGCTGCATCAACCTTGGAGCTCACCGGTGAGAGCAGCTCTTGAGTAATTAATGGGCGAATTCCTTCCCCCCGCCTTTGACCCCGGCTCCTCATTCTTTGATCCTGTATTTGACTGACTAGCCCCAGCCTTCTCCCCAGGCCGGCTGACCTGTCTCCTTCCAGTGATGTTCTGCTCACCATCTCTCACTTTTCTTCCCTACAGGGAGGCTGTGGAGCACTTTTTGGAGGCCCTGAACATGCAGAGGAAAAGCCGGGGCCCTCGCGGAGAAGGGGGTGCCATGTCAGAGAATATCTGGAGCACCCTACGTTTGGCATTGTCTATGTTAGGCCAGAGTGATGCCTATGGGGCAGCTGATGCCCGGGATCTGCCCACGCTCCTAACTATGTTTGGCCTGCCCCAGTGACAGTGGGATGGGCTGCCCTGTGAGTGTCTGCTTGGAGGGGTCCCTGCTCTGGATGTGACTCCCTCTCCCCAAATGGGCCTACCAAGGGGGTGGGCTGATGACCACAAGCGGTACGGCCTCTCAGGAGCTGCCTCAATGTAGGGGGTGGGGGGTAATCTGTGTCCTTCCTACGTAACTGTAGGAAAATGAGCTGCGTCGACTCTGAGTCCCTTGGTAATTCAGGGGCTGTATACCCCAGCTACGGATCTCTCTGCTCATCATGCCCTTTCTTGGTGCTGCTTTTTTGGGTAGGACCCAAAGATCTAGGGTAACTGTTGTCATCAGCTGCCATTTCTGATAGGGTCTACCACATTTGTAATGTCCGTCCTTTCCCCCGCCCCCCCCCCCCCCCCCCCCCCCCCCCCTTTTACTGGGAACTGGTGATAGTGCAGCTTTCTTGGGCAGTTGTGGGTGGCAGGTTCTTCTACCGTGCACCTCTGTGATGACTGTACCTGGGGTGGGGTGTTAGGAGTTGGCCTGTTGGATTTAAGTGTTGCTTTGGCTCAGCAGAGCTGAGTTTTGATGGGGGTGCCCACGGTTCGGTTGTGCCTGGACCTCTCCCGACTGTAGTCAGGTGGCCTGGGTGTGGTGCCGTACGCAGTAAGGCTGGCGTCATCATTGAGGGGTCCCTGGGAGTGGCTGGGGTCAACTGTACAGAGAGTGTTTGTGTGTGGGGTAGGAGGATGCTTGTTTGTGGAATGAACCTGGAAGGGACCAGATGGGATCAGATTAAGGGCTCTGTTCTGGGCCGTTGGTGGGAGGACAGAGCAAGTGGGCTGCGGGGTGTGGTGAGGGCAGCAAGCCCCCCTCCTAGAAAGGCGTGCGAGTAGGAGTTGAGCCAGCTCTTCTAGAAAGTTGGCTCGGAGATTGCAGTCTTGCCAGATTCCTAGCAGAGAGGTGGTTCAGTGTTACCGTAAGCCTTTTGCTGAACTTCTTTAAATGTTTCTAGGGGAGAGCATTGAAAAATCCCCTTCCCGCATATTACCTTCACAAGGTGTAGATTGAGGGAACGTGAGGGAGCAGCTTGGAATGTCCTCAGCTGCCCCCTGCGTGGGGAGATCCACTGACCCCCAGAAATGACTGCTAAGCCTCTTGCCTTGTCTTCACTAGCTAATGATCAGAGAGATTTTTTTTAAACTACCACGGTCCCAAGGTTCCATCCTGAAATTTATTTTTCTTTGTATGAATATGTGTAAATGATTTAAAAATAAAACTGTATGAATAAAATTTGTATGAAGAATAAGTGGAACTGACATGGGTGTGAGTTCTGCTGCCAGGGGAGAAGTTGGGGTGTGGGAGGTGGGTTGGTGTTTGGAGGATTGGCATTCAGCAGTTTTCTTCTCTCTTTGCCTTTCAAACTCTCACTAGTATATTGATTGCCCATCCATCCATCCAGTAATATTGAGCACCTAACACATGCCTGGTACCATGAATAAGATGTGCAAGGTCCCTGTGTCTATGGAACTTACGGTTCAGCAGGAGAGACTGATGGTTAACAATCGTGCATTTTTCATACTTAATGATGATACTATAAAGGGAAACACGGGGTGTGATATAATTGGTGTTGCTTTCATTGTGAATTATATGGGAGGATTTTGGTAGTTTTTTCAACGCTTACGCTTTCTAAAGGTTTTCATCTGGCTCTCCCTGGTTTTATTAGGAACTGTATCAAGGGCCATCTAAAGACGGGTATCTATCCGTGGGGAAAAGTTTTTAAAGATAAACATATTTATATGTGGAGATAAATGTCCATGGCCATGTTAGTGTTGGGGAAAAAATGTCTAAAAGAAAATGCGTTCAGTAAATTATCCAGACGGTGAAATATCATTTAGCTGTCTAATTCTGTTTATGGAACAATTTCCAATGACCATAAGTGCTAACAATATAATGAGAAAGAAGAGGTTAGCAAACTATTTACAGGTTATCTCAAAAACATGTCCTGAAAAGAGACTAGGGAATACCCCAGTATGCTAAGAGTGTGAAGATGCGAGTGATTTTTCTCCTGCTTTGCCATACTTGTAATTTTCAATTTTTCTTAGTGCATGGATGGGTAATACTTTCATAGGAAAGACCCCCCCCCCCCACCTCCAAAAAAAAAAACATGGTGGGAAGGGTGAGGCATTTGTTGTCACCACCTGGGTGACCTCAGGACACCCGGTGTCCTGGGCTCCGCAGGACAGGCAGTGCAAAGCCAGAGGCCTGACTGGGGCCTGGCATGTTGAGGCAGCAATTTCTACAATGTGTAGATAGATACAAGGAGAGCCGCCTGGCTTGAGGGTCAAGATAACTTCTGGTTTAATTGAAATCTCCAGGTTTACCTGCTTTGCCTGCCTTTGGGGACGTGAAGATGTCCAAGAGGATGCTTTTCTTGCACGGCCAGGGCTAGGCATCTCTTGAACCCAAATCAAATCCATCCAATAGTTATTGAGCCCCTAGCATGTGCCAGGTGCTGTTCAGGGATACAATTCACAAGGCAGACAAGGGTCCCTGTTCTCATGGCTTAGGTACTAGTTGACTAAAGAGAGAATATACAAGTTAATGAGAAAATACCAGTTAGTTTTGTGTAATTTTTATGTGTTTTAATTTCTAAGAAGAAACCAAAATGGCACATTGCACTACGAGTAAAGAGGAGGGCTGTGGGGTGTGAGGATCCAGCCATGGAGGTTTGGGTGGAAGCACAGCCCAGGTCCCGGGGGGCAAATGTGAAGGCTGTGATCTGAGCTTAAAAGAGCTCTGTGCACCCCAACAGGAAGAGGGCTGCAGTGGAGAAGAGAGGAGCACTAGCAGGAGAGAGGGTGGAGGGGTGGGCAGGAGCCCGGCAGGTAGGCCCTTTACGATTATGGTGAAGAGTTGGAATTATATTCTGAGTTCCACAGGAAATCACTGGAGACTTGGGACAGAGAAATGATGTGATGCGATTCAGTGTTGAAAGACCCTTTGCCTGGATGGCTCAGTCAGTTGAGCCTCTGACTTTGGCTCAGGTCATGATCTCGCAGTTCATGAGTTCGAGCCCCGTGTCAGGCTCTGTGCTGACAGTGCAGAGCCTGGAAACTGCTTCAGATTCTGTGTCTGCCTCCTCTCTCTGCCCCTCCCCTGCGCACGCTCTGTCTCTGTCTCTCAATAATAATAATTAAAAACAAAACGAAACAACAACAAAAAAGAATGGCGAGCCCTTAACTGACTGACAAAGGGGAAGCCGTGGGCAGAGTGGGTTTGGGAAGGAAAATGTGAAGTTCTAGAACTGAACACATTAGATTGGAAGTAGAGATCTCCAAAAATAGATCTCAAGTAGATAAAATGGATATATAAATCTCAGGTGAGAATTCAGGGCGGGGTGTATAAATATAGATGGTATTTAAAGCCATGGAACTGTCTAGGTTTGCCTAAAGAGAGAATGTAGACAAAGAGGGTGTAAGGCTGCAAAAGGCACTGGTTACCAGGCATGCGGGATCCATCAGAGCAGCTGTTTGTTCCTGGTTGATACAAATCTGTAAAGGGCCACCTTGTTAAACAAAAACAAAAAATAAATGTGGGCCTGCAACTTTAAAGAAACAGTTTAACTTTTAATCCGTTTTCCAGTTTCCAGGAAGAAGTGTAACTGGCAGATGATCTGTGTGTTCATTTCAATAAAACCAGGGCATTCTCCCTCCATAAGTAAACCGATCCGTGAATAATTAAAAGGCTGCTTGGCGAGTGAGGGAAATTAGTTTGAGTTAATGGCCTCAGGGTATTGCTGATGGGCTAGCTCCACAATCCTGTCAACCAAACAAACACAGAAGCATCTCAGTCACCCTGTTTAACTGGGGCTTGCGTGGGCATTGAATGCCTCCTTGAGGCTCCTCCATATTTTCTCTTTTGTTCTAACTTACAAAAATTATTATTTTTTTAAACGGGCAGAGGGAGAGGGAGACGGAGGACCTGACGGGCACACAGCCTGACGTGGGGCTCGAACTCACAAACCGCGAGACTGTGATCTGAGCTGACTGAGCCACCCACCCACAGGCGCCCCACTTAAAAAATTATTTTTAATTTTTAATTTCAGTTAAAAAGTTTCTAGAGTAGTTTTAGGTTTATAAAAAATCGAGAGGAAGGTGCAGAGATTTCCCACATGCCCTCTGCTGCCACACAGGCACAGCTTCTTCACATTAACAACATCAATCACCAGGGTGGTACTTTTTTTTTTTTTTTTTAACTAAGCATGAGCCTATGTTGACACATCATAATCACCCAAAGTCCATAGGTTTAGGCAAATGTATAACGACTGTATCCATCATTGCACCATAAGAGTATTTTCACTACCCTAAGAATCTTCTTTGCACTGTCCATTCATGTGCCCCCCCACCCCCCCACCCCCAAGTGCTAAACGTTGGTGTCCATAGCTTTGCCTTTTCCCGAATGTCATACGGTTGGAATCATACTGTATGCATCCTTTCATATTGGCTGCTTTCACTTTGTAATATGCATTTAAGTGTCCCTCATGTCTTTTCATGGCTTGTTGGCTCACTTTTCTTAGTGCTGAGTGTTAGTCCATTGTCTGGATGTATCACAGTTTGTTCATCCCTTCACTACGGAAGGACATCTCGGTCGCCCCCAAATTTTGGCAATTATGAATAAAGCTGCTACAAACATTCATGTGTTGGGTTTTGTGTGGACAAAAGTCCACGTCCTTTGGGTAAATAACCGAAGAGCATGGCTGCTGAACTGTGCAGTAAGACTATGCTTATTTCTGTAAGGAACTTCCGAACTGTCTTCCATGGTGGCCGTACCATTTTGTAGTCCCCCCAGCAGCGAGTGAGAGTTGCCGTGGCTCCACATCCCCACTGGCATATGGTGTTGCCAGTGTCTCGAGTTCAGGCCATTGTCATAGGCGTGTGGTGGTCCCTCGTCGTTTTAATTGGCATCTTCCCAGCGACAGGTGACGTATAGCACCTTTTCATATGCTTGTTTGCCATCTGTGTATC